TTCTTCTTGCTTATAACCTCTTATTTTCATCTTGTTTTAACCTTTCTTTTTTCTTTTCTTTTCTTCTTCTTTCTCTTCTTTTTCTTGTTGTATAACATTTTCTTTTTTCATTTCTTCTTCTTCTTCTTTTTAACCTTACTTTTCATCTTTTTTCATTTCTTTTCTTCATTTCTTTCTTCTTCTTAAATAACCTCTTGTTTCATCTTGTTCTGTAACCTTACTTTTCTTTTCATTTCTTCTTCTTCTTCTTCTTCTCATATAACCTCTTGTTTTCATCTTGTTCTTTGCTTACTTTTCTTTTCATTTCTTCTTCTTCTTCTTCTTCTTCTTCTTAACCTCTTGTTTCATCTTGTTCTGTCTTACTTTTCTTTTTCATTTCTTCTTCTTCTTCTTCTTGTTATAACTTTTCTTTTCATTTCTTCTTAACCTTACTTTTCTTTTCATTTCTTCTTCTTCTTCTTCTTCTTCTGTTTCATAACCTCTTCTTTTCATTTCTTCTTTTCTTTCTTTCTGTAACCTCTTGTTTCATCTTGTTCTTTTCTTTTCATTTCTTCTTCTTCTTCTTTCTGTTTCTTGTTTCATCTTGTTCTGTAACCTTTTCTTTTCATTTCTTCTTTTCTTCTTCTTCTTCTTTCATCTTTTTCTGTAACCTTATTTCTTTTTTCTCTTCTTTTCTTCTCTCATAACCTTTCATCTTGTTCTTCTTTTTTTTTCTTCTTCTTCTTCTTCTTCTTCTTCTATAACCTTGTTCTTGCTTATACTTTCTTTTTCATTTTTCATCTTGTTCCTGTTTATACTTATTTTCTTTTCATTTTTTCTTCTTCTTCTTCTTATATAACCTCTTGTTTCATCTTGTTTCTTTCTTTTTACTTTTCTTTTCTTTTATTTTCTTCTTCTTCTTCTAACCTCTTGTTTCATCTTGTTCTGTAACCTTCTTTTTCTTTTCATTTCTTTTCTTCTTTCTTCTTGTATACTTGTTTAAACCCTTACTTTTTTTTTTTTCATTTCTTCTTTCCTTCTTCTTCTTCTTGTCATAACCTCTTTTTTTTTCTTTGCAGTATTCATTTATCTTGTTCTGTAACCTTACTTTTTTTTTTTTCATTTTTTCTTCTTCTTCTTCTATACCTCATTTCTTGTATAACCTCTTGTTTTCATCTTGTTCTGTAACCTTTACCTCTTTTCTTTTTCATTTCTTTTTCTTCTTCTTTTCTTCTTCTTCTTGTATAACCTTCTTTTTTTCATCTTGTTTTAACCTTACTTTTTTTTTTCATTTCTTCTTCTTCTTCTTCTTCTTCTTCTTGTATAACCTCTTTTCTTTTCATCTTGTTCCTGTAATACTTTTCTTTTTCATTTCTTCTTCTTCTTCTTCTTAAACAACCTCTTTTTTTCATCTTGTTATTAAACCTTACTTTTTTTTTCATTTTTCTTCTTCTTCTTCTTCTTATATAACCTCTTTTTCATTTGTTTCTTATATTTTCCTTTTTTTTTCTTCTTCTTCTTTACTAACCTTCATCTTTTTTTTTTTTTTTTCATTTCTTCTTCTTCTTCTTCTTCATCTTCATTATACCTCTTTTTTTTTTTTTTTTTTTTATAGCCTTAACCTCTTGTTTCATCTTTCCAATTTCTGTAACCTTGCTTTTCTTTTTCCATTTCTTCTTCTTCTTCTCTTTCTTCTTGTATAGCCTCTTGTTTCATCTTGTTCATAACCTTACTTTTCTTTTTCATTTCTTCTTCTTCTTCTTCCTTGCCTCTTTTCTTGTTTATCTTGTTCTGTAACCTTACTTTTCTTTTCATTTCTTCTTCTTCTTCTTTTCTTCTTGTACTTAACCTCTTGTTTCATCTTGTTCTGTAACCTTACTTTTCTTTTCATTTGCTTCTTCTTCTTCTTCTTGTATAACCTCTCTTGTTTCATCTTGTTCTATAACCTTACTTTTCTTTTTCATTTCTTCTTCTTCTTCTTGTATAACCTCTTGTTTCATCTTGTTCAGTAGCCTTCTTTTTTCATCTTTTCTTCTTTCCTTCTACTTCTTTTTCTTCTTGTATGTACTTCATTGTTTTCTTCTTCTTCCTGAAATTTTTCCTATTTCTTTCTTCTTTCTACTTCATCTTTTATGTGACTTCTTCTTTCTTTTTTCTTCTTTCTTTTCTTCTTTTCTTCTTCTACTTTCTCTTTTCTTTTCTTTTTCTTCTCTTTTTTCTTTTCTTGTTCTTTTGTTTTTTTCCTTCTTTGTTATTCATTTTTACGGCTTTTCTTCATTTTACTTTTTTTTTTTCTTGTTTTTCTTCTTCTTCTTCTTCTTTATATAACCTCTTGTTTCATCTTGTTCTGTAACGACCATTTCTTCTTTTTTTTCTTCTTTTCATTTTTCTTATTTCTTCTTCTTCTTCTTATTATAACCTCGACCTTATTTCTTTTTCTTTTTCATTTCTTCTTCTTCTTGCTTCTTCTTTTCATTTCTTCTTCTTCTTCTTCTTCTTCTTATATAACCTCTGTAACCGACTTTTCTTTTCATCTTTTTTCTTCTTAACCTTACCTCTTGTTTCATCTTGTTCTGTAACCTTACTTTTTTTTCATTTCTTCTTCTTCTTCTTGTATAACCTCTTATTTTTCTTCTTCTTCTTTTTCTTGTAACCTTTCTTTTTATTTTCTGACCTTCTTTTTCTTCTTCTTCTTCTTCTTCTTCTTGTATAACCTCTTTTTTTCATCTTGTTCTTTGTTCTTCTTTTTTTTTTCTTCTTCTTCTTCTTTTTTCTTCTTGTATAACCTCTTGTTTCATCTTGTTATGTAACCTTTACTTTTTTTTTTTTTCTTTTCTTCTTCTTCTTCTTCTTTTTCTTATTTCTGTAACCTTCTTTTTTTTTTTTTTTTTTTCTTCTGTATACTTGTTTTTACCTTACTTTTTCTTTTCACTTTTCTTTTTTTTTTTTTCATTTCTTCTTCTTCTTCTTTTTTTCTTATACATTATATAACCTCTTTTTTCATCTTGTTCAGTACCCTTACTTTTTCTTTTATTTCTTCTTCTTTTCTCTTTTCATTTGTTCTTCTTCTTCTCTTCTTCTTCTTCTTCTTGTATAACCTCTTGTTTATCTTGTACATTATTCTTTTTCATTTCTTTTTTTTGTACTTCTTCTTGTATAACCTCTTTTTTCATCTTGTTCTGTAACTTTTCTTTTTCATTTCTTCTTCTTCTTCTTCTTCTTCTTGTATAACCTCTTGTTTCATTTTTTTCTGTCCTTACTTTTTTCATTTCTTTTCTTCTTCTTCTTTTTTAGTTTCATCTTTTTTCTTTTTTTTCTTCTTCTTCTTCTTCTTCTTCTTGTATAACCTCTTGTTTCATCTTGTTTTTGTATACATTCCTTTTTCTTTTCTTTTTTTTTTTTTCTTCCATCTCCTTATAACCTCTTTTTTTTTCTTATTGACCTTACTTTTTTTTTTTTTCATTTTTTCTTCTTCTTCTTTTTCTTCTATACATTATATGACCTTAATTTTTTTTTTTTTTTTTTGTTCTGTATTACCTTACTTTTCTTTTTCATTTCTTCTTCTTCTTCTTTTTCTTCTTGTTCTGTAACCTTGCACTTTTTTTTCATCTTCTTCTTCTTCTTCCTTACCTCTTTTTTCTTTTTACTTTTCTTTCTTCTTCTTCTTTTTTCTAGCCTCTTATACATCTTAACCCTCTTTTTTTTCATTTCTTGTTCTTCTCTTTCTTCTTTTAACCTCTTTTTCTTTTTCTGTAACCTTACTTTTTCTTTTATTTCTTCCTTTTTCTTCTACTTTCTTCCTTCTTTCATTTTCTTCTTTCTTTTTCCTTCTTCATCTTCTTCTTCTTTCTTTTTCTTCTTCCTCCTGAAGTTTTTCTACTTTTTCTTTCTTTCTTTTTATTCTTTCTTCTTTTATTTTTCTTCTTCTTTCTTTGTCTTCTTTCTTTTTACTTCCATCTTTTTTTTTCTTCTTTCTTTTCTTCTTTTATCTCACGTTTTTCTACTTTTCTCGTTCTTCTTTTTTCTTCATTTTCGACTTTTCTACTACCTTTTTCTTCTTCCTCTTCTTTCTACTTCAATTTCTTTCTACTTTTTTCTTCTTTCTTCATCTAATTTCTTTTTTCTTCTTTTTTCTTCTTTCTTCTTCTACTTTATTTTTTTTCTTCTTCTTCAATAAGTTTTTGTACTTTTTTCTTTCTTCTTTGTTCTTCTTCATTTTCGACTTTTCTGTTCCGTTTTCGTTCTTCCTCTTCTTTTTTCTTGATTTTTCTTCTTTCTTCTACTTCTTTCTTTATTATTCTTGCTTCTTCTTTGTTTTTCTTTCTTTCTTCTTGTACTTTTTCTTCTTTTTCTTTCTTTCATTTTCTTCTTCTTTCTTCTTCTTCTTATTATAACTTTTCTTATTTCATCATTTCTGCGACCCATTTTTTTTTCTTTCATTTCTTCTTCTTCTTCTTCTTCTTATATTAACCTCTTGTTTCATCTTATTCATTATTAACCTTATTTTTTTTTTTTCATTTCTTCTTCTTCTTCTTCTTTTTCTTGTATACATTATGCGACCTTTATTCTTTTTTTCTGCATACATTATGACCACTTTTCTTTTTTTTGCAGTATACGTGCGACCTTCCTTTTATGCAATATACATTATGCGACCATTACCCTTTTTTTGCAGTATACATTACTCTTTTTTGCAGTATACATTATTACGACCATTTTTTTGCCAGTACTTCACATTATAGACCTTTACCTTTTTTTGCAGTATACATTTGCGACCTTCTTTTTTGCAGTATCATTATGCGACCTTTACTCTTTTTTTTTACGTTATCGACCTTCCTTTTTGCAGTATATTACCATTACCTTTTTGCAGTGTCATTATGCGACCTTTACCTTTTTTGCGGAATATACATTATAAAACCTTTTTTTTACATTGTCGTATTCCACTTTTTTGCAGTATACATTTGCGACCTTCTTTTTTTGCAGTATCGTTCGTACGACCATTACCCTTTTTTGCAGTATACGTTATGCGACCATTACCCTTTTTTTGCAGTATACATTATGATAACTTTACTCTTTTTTGCAGCAGTATACTTTTACTCTTTTTTGCAGTATACATTGTCGACCATTACCCTTTTTTTGCGGTACCATTACCCTCTTTTTGCAGTATACATTATCGACCTTTACTCTTTTTGCGGTATACATTATGCGACCATTACCCTTTTTTTGCAGTATACATTGTCGACCTTTCTTTTTTTTTTGCAGTATACATTATCGACCATTACCCTTTTTTGCAGTATAATTACCTTTTGCAGTATACATTATCGACCTTTATCTTTTTTTGTAAGTATACATTATGCGACCTTTTTTTTTTTGCATTATACATTACTCATTTTTTTTGCAGTATACGTTATACGACCTTTACTTTTTTTTTGCAGTATACATTATGCGACCATTACCCTTTTTTTGCAGTATACATTATACGACCTTTACTCTTTTTGCAATTACCATTTCGACCATTTTTTGCAGTATACATTATCGACCTTTTTTTTTTTTGCAGTATACATTATACCTACTCTTTTTTTGTAGTATACATTATGCGACCTTTACCCTTTTTTGCAGTATACATTATGACCATTACTCTTTTTGCAGTATACATTATGCGCGACTTTACTTTTTTTTGCAGTATACATTAACCGACCCTCTTTTTTTGCAGTATACATTATGCGACCTTTACTCTTTTTTTGCAGTATACGTTATGCGACCTTTACTCTTTTTTGCAGTATACATTATCCGACTTTAATCTTTTTGCAGTATACATTGTGACCATTACCTTTTTTAGTATACATTATGCGACCTTTACTCTTTTTTTGCAGTATACATTATCGACCTTTACCCTTTTTTTGCAGTATACATTATGCGACCTTTACTTTTTTTTTTTTGCAGTATACATTATGACCGACCTTTTTTTTTTGCAATATACATTATCGACCTTACTTTTTTTTGCAGTATACATTATCGACCATTACCCTTTTTTGCAGTATACATTTGACATTTACTCTTTTTTTGCAGTATACATTATGCGACCTTTTACTCTTTTTTTTTTTTGCAGTATACATTATGCGACCTTTTACTCTTTTTTTGTTATTTTTATGCGACCTTTACTCTTTTACGGTATACATTAACCGACCTTCTCTTTTTTTTGCAGTATACATTATACACTTCTCTTTTTTGCGGTATACATTATCGACCTTTACTCTTTTTTGCAGTATACATTATCGACCATTACTTTTTTATTTATGCGACTTCTTTTTTGCATTACATTAATAGAGCCATTACCCTTTTTGCAGTATACATTATCGACTTTACTCTTTTTTGCAGTATACATTATCGACCTTACCTTTTTTTTTTGCAGTATACATTACGTATACGACCTTTTTACTCTTTTTTGCAGTGCAGTATATATTATGACCATTACCTTTTTTTGCAGTATACATTGACCGACCTTTTTTTTTTTTTTGCAGTATACATTATCACGACCTTTTACTTTTTTTTTGCAGTATACATTATGCGACCATTACCCTTTTTTGCAGTATACATTTATCGACCTTTCTTTTTTTTGCAGTATACATTATACGACCTTTACTCTTTTTTTTTGCAGTATACATTATTGCGACCTTTACCCTTTTTTGCAGTATACATTATGCGACCTTTACCCTTTTTTTTTTGCAGTATACATTATCGACCATTACCCTTTTTTTTGCAGTATACATTATGCGACCTTTTACACCTTTTTTGCAGTATACATTATAAACCTTTACTCTTTTTGCAATTATACATTTTTTTTTTTGCAGTATACATTATGCGACCATTACTTTTTTTTGCAGTATACATTATCACGACCATTTTCTTTTTGCAGTATACATTGTGCGACCTTTACTCTTTTTTTTTTTATACGTTATTATGCGACTCTTACCTTTTTTGCAGTATACATTATCGACCATTACCTTTTGCAGTATACATTATGCGACCATTACCTTTTTTTTGCAGTATACATTGTGCGACCTTTTTACTCTTTTTTTTGCAGTATACATTATGCGACCTTTACTTTTTTTTTTGCAGTATACATTATACGACCTTTACCCTTTTTTTTTTGCAGTATACATTATCGACCATTACTTTTTGCAGTATACATTGCGACCATTACCCTTTTGCAGTATACATTATGCGACCTTTACTTTTTTGCAGTATACATTATGCGACCTTACTACTTTTTTTTTTGCAGTATACATTATCGACCTTTACCTTTTTTTTTTGCAGTATACATTATCGACCTTTACTCTTTTTTTGCAGTATACATTATCGACCTTTTACTTTTTTTTTTGCAGTATACATTATGCGACCATTACCCTTTTTGCAGTATACATTGTATGACCTTACCCTTTTTGCAGTATACATTATCGACCTTCTCTTTTTGCGGTATACATTATACGACCTTACTCCTTTTTTTGCAGTATATTATCGACCTTTACTCTTTTTTTGCAGTATACATTATCGACTCTTTTTTTTATACATTATTTTTTTTTTGCAGTATACATTATGCGACCCATTACCCTCTTTTTTGCAGTATACATTATGCGACCTTTACCCTTTTTTGCAGTATACATTATGCGACCTTTTTTTACATTTTTTTTTTTGCAGTATACATTATCGACCTTACCTTTTTTTTGTATACATTATGCGACCATTACTTTTTTTTTGCAGTATACATTACGACCCTCTTTTTTTACATTTTTTTTTTTGCAGTATACATTATGCGACCTTTACCCTTTTTTGCAGTATACATTATGCGACCATTACCTTTTTTTTTTGCGGTATACATTATACGACCTTTACTCTTTTTGCAGTATACATTATGCGACCCATTACTTTTTTTTATACTCTTTTTTTTGCAGTATACATTATGACCATTACCTTTTTTTTGCAGTATACATTATGCGACCTTTACTCTTTTTGCAGTATACATTATGCGACCATTACCCTTTTTTGCAGTATACATTATCGACCTTTACCCTTTTTGCAGTACATTATGACGATTACTCTTTTTTGCGGTATACATTATGCGACCTTCACTCTTTTTTTGCGGTATACATTATGCGACCTTTACTCTTTTTTTGCAGTATACATTATGCGACCTTTACTAAATACCTTTTTTTGCAGTATACATTATCACGACCATTACCCTTTTTGCAGTATACATTGTCGACCTTTACTCTTTTTTTTGCAGTATACATTATGCGACCACGACCCTTCCTCTTTTTTTTGCAGTATACATTATGCGACCATTACCCTTTTTTGCAGTATACATTATGCGACCTTTACCTTTTTTGCAGTATACATTGCGCGACCATTACCCTTTTTTGCAGTATACGACCACGACCTTTTTTTTGCGAGTATACATTGTGTCGACCTTTACCTTTTTTGCAGTATACATTATGCGACCTTTACTTTTTTTGCAGTATACATTATGCGACCTTTACTCTTTTTTTGCAGTATACATTATGCGACCTTTACTCTTTTTTTTTATACGCATACTCTTTTTATGCGACATTTACCTTTTTTTTTGCAGTATACATTATCGACCTTTACCCTTTTTTTTGCAGTATACATTTATTGCGACCTTTACCTCTTTTTGCAGTATACATTATACGACCTTTACCCTTTTTTTTTTTGCAGTATACATTATACGACCTTATTCTTTTTTGCAGTATATACATTATCGACCTTTACTTTTTTTTTGCAGTATACATTATGCGACCATTACCTTTTTTTTTTTGCAGTATACGTTTTTATGTATTACTTCTCTTTTTTTTTTGCAGTATACATTATGCGACCATTACTCTTTTTGCAGTATACATTATGCGACCTTTTCTTTTTGCAGTATACATTATACGACCTTTACTCTTTTTTGCAGTATACATTGTCGACTTTTACTCTTTTTTGCAGTATACATTATGCGACCTTTACCCTTTTTTGCAGTATACATTATGCGATAATTACTCCTTTTTTGCAGTATACATTATGCGACCTTTACTTTTTTTTGCAGTATACATTATACGACCTTTACTCTTTTTTTTTGCAGTATACATTACTCTTTTTTGCAGTACCATTATGCGACCATTTTTTTTGCAGTATACATTATGCGACCACCTTTTTGCAAGTATACATTTTTTTTTTTGCGGTATACGTTATGCGACCATTACCCTTTTTTGCAATTAGTATACATTACGACCTTTACTCTTTTTTGCAGTATACATTATGACGCAGTATACATTTACCTCTTTTTTTGCAGTATACATTATGCGACCTTTACTTTTTTGCGGTATACCATTATACGACCTTTACTCTTTTTTTTGCATACATTTCGACCTTCCTCTTTTTTGCGGTATACATTATCGACCTTTACTCTTTTTTTGCGGTATACATTATATGACCTTTACTTTTTTTTTTTTTTTATGAAACCATTACCCTTTTACATTACATTATCGACCTTTTTTTTTTTTTTTTGCAGTATACATTATGCGACCATTACTCTTTTTTTGCAGTATGCATTTATACGACCATTACCCTTTTTTTGCAGTATACATTATGCACCATTACCCTTTTTTGCGGTATACATTTCGACCATTACCCTTTTTGCAGTATACATTATACGACCTTTACTCTTTTTGCAGTATACATTATGCGACCTTTACTTTTTTTTTGCAGTATACGTTATGCGACCATTACCCTTTTTGCAGTATACATTATGCGACCATTACCCTTTTTGCAGTATACATTATCGCGACCATTTACTTTTTTTTTTGCAGTATACATTACCCTTTTTGCGACCTTTACTTTTTTTTTTTTTGCAGTATACATTATGCGACCATTACCCTTTTTTGCAGTATACATTATGCGACCTTTACTCTTTTTTTGGTATACATTATCGACCATTACCCTTTTTGCAGTTTTTATGCGACCTTCTCTTTTTTTTGCAGTATACATTTACGACCTTTTCTTTTTTGCAGTATACATTATGCGGACCATTACCTTTTTTTTTTGCAGTATACATTATGCGACCTTTACTTTTTTTTTGCAGTATACATTATGCGACCTTATTCTTTTTTTGCAGTATACATTATACGACCTTTACCCTTTTTTGCAGTATACATTATCGACCTACCCTTTTTTTTGCAGTATACATTATGACCATTACCCTTTTTTGCAGTATACATTTTTCTCTTTTTGCAGTATACATTATGCGACCATTACCCTTTTTGCGGTATACATTGTCGACCTTTTTTTTTTGCAGTATACATTATGCGACGTATTACCTTTTTTGCAGTATAACATTAATTTTTTTTTGCAGTATACATTATACGACCTTTACTTTTTTTTTGCGGTATACATTATACTTTACTTTTTTGCAGTACCTTTACGACCTTTACTCTTTTTTTTGCAGTATACGTTATGCGACCTTTTTTTTTTTTTTTTTTTTTTTATACGACCTTTACTCTTTTTTTTTGCTAACATACATTATGCGACCTTTTTATTTTTTTTTGCGGTATACATTATGCGATTTTACTCTTTTTGGCGGTATACATTATGCGACCATTTTTTTTTTGCAGTATACATTGTGCGACCATTAATTTTTTTTTGCAGTATACATTATCGACCTTTACTTTTTTTGCAGTATACATTATGCGACCATTACCTTTTTTGCAGTATACATTATGCGACCATTACCCTTTTTTTTGCAGTATACATTATGCGACCTTTACCCTTTTTTTGCAGTATACATTATGCGACCATTACCCTTTTTTTGCAGTATACATTATGCGACCTTTACTCTTTTTTTGCAGTATACATTATGCGACCTTTACTCTTTTTTTGCAGTATACATTATGCGACCTTTACTCTTTTTTTTGCAGTATACATTATGCGACCATTACCCTTTTTTTTGCAGTATACATTATTTTAGACCATTACCTTTTTTTTTTGCAGTATACATTATGCGACCATTACTTTTTTTTTGCAGTATACATTTGCGACCTTCTCTTTTTTGCGGTATACATTATACTCTTTACCTTTTTGCAGTATACATTTATGCGACCTTGCCTTTTTTTTGCGGTATACATTATGCTTAACCTTTACTCTTTTTGCAGTATACATTATCGACCATTACCCTCTTTTTGCAGTATACATTATGCGACATTACCTTTTTTTTGCAGTATACATTATGCGACCTTTAATTTCGACCTTTTTTTTGCAGTATACATTATGCGACCATTACCCTTTTTTGTAGTATATTATGCGACCATTACCTTTACCCTTTTTTGCAAAGTATACATTATGCGACCATTACCCCTTTTTTTGCAGTATACATTATGCGACCTTGCCGACCTTCTCTTTTTTGGTATACATTATGCGACCTTTACTTTTTTTTGCAGTATACATTATGCGACCTTACTCTTTTTTTTTGCAGTATACATGCGACCTTTACTCTTTTTTTGCAGTATACATTATCGACCGATACCCTTTTTTTTGCAGTATACATTATGCGACCATTACCTTTTTTGCAGTATACATTATACGACCTTTACTCTTTTTGCAGTATACATTATGCGACCTTCTCTTTTTTGCAGTATACATTATCGACCTTTACTTTTTTTGCAGTATACATTATGCGACCTTCTCTTTTTTTGCAGTATACATTATGCGACCTTTACTCTTTTTTGCAGTATACATTATGCGACCATTACCCTTTTTTTTTGCAGTATACATTATGCGACCAATTATTTTTTTTTTGCAGTATACATTATGCGACCTTTACCCTTTTTTGCAGTATACATTATGCGACCTTTACTCTTTTTTGCAGTATACATTATACGACCATTACCCTTTTTGCAGTATACATTATGCGACCATTACCCTTTTTTTGCAGTATACATTGTCGACCATTACCCTTTTTTGCAGTATACATTATGCGACCATTACCCTCTCTTTTTGCAGTATACATTATGCGACCTTTACTCTTTTTTGCAGTATACATTATACGACCATTACCCTTTTTGCAGTATACATTATGCGACCATTACCTTTTTTTTGCAAGTATATCACGACCATTACCCTTTTTTACGTATACCAATACGACCTTCTTTTTTTTGCAGTATACACTCTTTTTGCGACCTTTACCTTTTTTTTGCAGTATACATTAGCCGACCATTACTTTTTTATACATTATGCGACCATTACCTCTTTTGCGACCATTCGACCTTTTTTTGCGGTATACATTATGCGACCTTTACTCTTTTTTGCAGTATACATTTGCGACCTTTACCTTTTTTTGCGGTATACATTATACTTCTTTTTTTGCGGTATACGTTGTCGACCTTTACCCTTTTTTGCAGTATACATTATGCGACCATTACTCTTTTTTGCAGTATACATTATGCGACCTTTTTACTCTTTTCTTTTTGCGGTATACGTTATACGACCTTTACTCTTTTTTACGGTATACACTCTTTCTTTTTTGCAGTATACATTATCGCGACCATTACCCTTTTTTTGCAGTATACATTATGCGACCTTTACCTTTTTGCAGTATACATTATACGACCTTTTTGCAGTATACTTAATTTTTCTTTTTTGCAGTATACATTATCGACCTTTACTCTTTTTGCAGTACCATTATAAACCTTTACTCTTTTTTTGCAGTATACATTACACCTTTCTTTTTTTGCAGTATACACCATTACTACTCTTTTTTACAGTATACATTTATGCGACCTTTACTCTTTTTGCGGTATACATTATACTTTATCTTTTTGCAGTATACATTATCGACCATTACCTTTTTGCAGTATACATTATCGACCATTACCTTTTTTTGCAGTATACATTATCGACCATTACCTTTTTGCAGTATACATTATACGACCTTCTCTCTTTTTTGCAGTATACATTATCGACCTTTCCTCTTTTGCAGTATCGTTATTACCATTCTTTTTTTTTGCAGTATACATTAGCCGACCTTTACTCTTTTTGCGGTATACATTATCGACCATTACCCTTTTTTGCAGTATACATTATACGTGCTTCTCTTTTTTATATACATTATCGACCTTTACTCTTTTTTTGCAGTATACATTCGACCTTTACTCTTTTTTGCAGTATACATTATGCGACATTACTTTTTTTGCAGTATACATTATTTCCTTTTTTTTTGCAGTATACATTATTCATTACCTTTTTTTTGCAGTATACATTGGCGACCATTACCTTTTTTGCAGTATACATTTATGTATTACTCTTTTGCAATACATTGTCCCTCTTTTTTGCAGTATACATTATGCGACCTTTACTCTTTTTTTGCAGTATACATTATCGACCTTTATTCCCTTTTTTGCAGTACATTATGCGACCATTACCCTTTTTTTGCAGTATACATTATGCGACCATTACCCTTTTTTTGCAGTATACATTATGCGACCTTTACTCTTTTTTTTGCAGTATACATTATGCGACCTTTACTCTTTTTTTGCGGTATACGTTACGACCTTTACTCTTTTTGCAGTATACATTATGCGACCTTTACCTTTTTTGCAGTATACATTATGCGACCTTTACTCTTTTTTTGCAGTATACATTATGCGACCATTTTTACATTTTTTTTTGCAGTATACATTATGCGACCTTTACTCTTTTTTTGCAGTATACATTATACCGACCATTACCTTTTTTTGCAGTATACATTATGCGACCTTTACTCTTTTTTGCAGTATACATTATCGACCTTCTTTTTTGCGGTATACATTATGCGACCATTTTTTTTTGCAGTATACATTATGCGACCTTTACCCTTTTGCAGTATACATTATGCGACCTTTACTCTTTTTTTTGCAGTATACATTCCGACCTTTCTCTTTTTTGCAGTATACGTTGTCGACCATTACCTTTTTTTAGTTATTCGACCATTACCTTTTTTTTGCAGTATACATTTTGCGACCTTTACCCTTTTTTTTGCGGTATACATTATCGACCATTACCCTTTTTGCAGGTATACATTATGCGACCTTTACTCTTTTTTTGCAGTATACATTATACCTTTTTTTACCTTTTTTTACGGTATACATTATCGACCATTACCCTTTTTTTTGCATTATGCCATTACCCTTTTTTGCAGTATACGACCTTGCTCTACTTTTTTGCAGTATACATTTACGACCATTACCTTTTTTTTTTGCAGTATATTATGCGACCTTTTACCTTTTTTGCAGTATACATTATGCGACCATTACCTTTTTTTGCGATACATTATGCGACCATTTTTTTTTGCAGTATACATTATCGACCTTTTACTCTTTTTTGCAGTATACATTATGCGACATTACCCTTTTTTTGCAGTATACATTAACCGACCATTACTCTGATTTTTTTTTTGCAGTATACATTATGCGACCTGCGACTTTTACCTTTTTGCAGTATACATTATACGACCATTACTCTTTTGCAGTATACATTATGCGACCATTACTTTTTTTTTGCAGTATACGTTATACACCTTTTATGCAGCCATTATGCGACTTTTTTTTTTTTGCAGTATACATTATGCGACCTTTACTCTTTTTTTTTGCAGTATACATTATGCGACCATTACCCTTTTTTTGCAGTATACATTATGCGACCTTTTTCTTTTTTTTGCAGTATACATTATGCGACCTTCCTCTTTTTTGCAGTATACATTATGCGACCATTACCTTTTTTGCAGTATACATTATGCGACCTTTACTCTTGCAGCGGTATACATTATACACCATTACCCTTTTTTGCAGTATACATTATACGACCATTACCCTTTTTGCAGTATACATTATCCGACCTTTCTTTTTTTGCAGTATACATTGTGCGACCATTACCCTTTTTTTGCAGTATACATTATGCGACCTTTACCCTTTTTTTGCGGTATACATTATGCGACCATTACTTTTTTTTTTGCAGTATACATTATGCGACCATTACCTTGCAGTTACATTACCGACTTTTTTTTTTTTGCAGTATACATTTTTGCGACCTTTACTTTTTTTGCGGTATACATTATGCGACCTTTTTTTTTTTGCAGTATACATTATGCGACCTTTTACCTTTTTTGCAGTATACATTATGCGACCATTACCCTTTTTTTGCGGTATACATTATGCGACCTTTACTCTTTTTTTTGCAGTACATTATACGACCTTCTTTTTTTGCAGTATACATTATGCGACCTTTTCTCTTTTTTTTGCAGTATACATTATGCGACCTTTACATTTTTTTGCAGTATACATTGTGCGACCATTACCCTTTTTTGCAGTATACATTATGCGACCATTACCTTTTTTTTGCAGTATACATTAACCGACCTTTACTCTTTTTTGCAGCATTTTTGCACCTTTACTTTTTTGCGACCTTTACTCTTTTTTGCAGTATACATTATGCGACCATTACCCTTTTTTTGCAGTATACATTATACGACCATTACCCTTTTTGCAGTATACATTTATGCGACCATTACCCTTTTTTTGCAGTATACATTATGCGACCTTTACTCTTTTTGCAGTTTTACATTGCTCTTTTTTTTTTTGCAGTATACACCTTCTCTTTTGCGACCTTTATGCGACCTTTTTTTTTGCAGTATACATTACGATTTTTTTTTACCCTTTTTTTTTTATACCATTATGCGACCTTTACTTTTTTTGCAGTTATACATTATGCGACCATTTTTTTTTTTTGCAGTATACATTATGCGACCATTACCTTTTTTTGCAGTATACATTATCGACCTTTACCCTTTTTTGCGGTATACATTTTTACCTTTTCTTTTTTGCAGTATACATTATGCGACCATTACCCTTTTTTTGCAGTATACATTATGCGACCTTCTCTTTTTTGCGGTATACATTGCGACCTTTACTTTTTTTTGCAGTATACATTGTCACGACCTTTACCCTTTTTTTTGCAGTATACATTATGACCTTTACTCTTTTTGCGAAGTATATCTGCGACCATACCCCATTACTTTTTTTTTTGCAGTATACATTATCGACCATTACCTTTTTTTGCAGTATACGTTATGCGACCATTACCCTTTTTTTGCAGTATACATTATGCGACCACACCCTTTTTTGCAGTATACATTATATGACCATTACCCGCTTTTTTTGTATACATTATGATTCGACCTTTTTTTTTTTTTGCGGTATACATTATGCGACCTTTATTTTTTTTTTTTTTTGCAGTATACATTATACGACCTTTACCTTTTTTTTTTGCATTGCGACCATCTCTTTTTTATGCAGATACAATTATTTTTTTTTGCAGTATACATTATGCGACCTTTTCTTTTTTTGGTATACATTATGCGACCATTCTTTTTTTTGCAGTATACATTATGCGACCTTTACTCCTTTTTTTTTTGCAGTATACATTGTGACGACCTTTTTTTTTTGCAGTATACATTATGCGACCTTACTCTTTTTTGCAGTATACATTATGCGACCTTTACTTTTTTTTTTTGCAGTATACATTATGCGACCTTTACTCTTTTTTGCGGTATACATTACCTTTTTTTGCAGATACATTTTACCATTCTTTTTGCAGTATTATACGTTATTACCCTTTTTGCAGTATACATTATCGACCTTTTTTTTTGCGGTATACATTATGCGACCTTTTACCCTTTTTTTGCAGTATACATTGCGCGACCATTACCCTTTTTTGCAGTATACATCTTTTTGCGACCTTTTTTTTTTTTTTTTTGCAGTATACATTTATGCGACCATTACCTTTTTTTTGCAGTATACATTGTACGACCTTACCCTTTTTTTGCAGTATACATTATGCAGTACCTTACCCTTTTTTTGCAGTATACATTATGCGACCTTTACTCTTTTTTTGCAGTATACATTATGCGTATTACCTTTTTTTTGCAGTATACATTATGCGACCATTACCCTTTTTTGCAGTATACATTATACCGACCATTTTTTTTGCAGTAACCATTATGCGACCATTACCCTTTTTTGCATTATACATTATGCGACCATTACCTTTTTTTTGCAGTATACATTATGCGACCATTACCTTTTTTGCAGTATACATTATGCGACCTTTACTCTTTTTTTGCGGTATACGTTATGCGACCATTACTTTTTTTGCAGTATACGTTATGCGACCTTTACTCTTTTTTTGCGGTATACATTATCGACCATTACTTTTTTTTTTGCAGTATACATTATGCGACCGGTATACATTAATTTTTTTTTTTGCGGTATACATTATGCGACCTTTCTCTTTTTTGCAGTATACGTTATCGACCTTTACTCTTTTTTTGCAGTATACATTATGCGACCATTACCCTTTTTTTTGCAGTATACATTATGCGACCATTACTCTTTTTTTTGCAGTATACATTATCGACCATTCTTTTTTGCAGTATACATTATGCGACCATTACCTTTTTTTATACATTCTCTACGACCATTACCCTTTTTTGCAGTATACATTACGACTTCTTTTTTTTGCGGTATACATTATGCGACCATTACCCTTTTTTTGCGGTATACATTATGACCGACCTTTTTTCTATTTTTTTGCAATACCCTTTTTGCAGTATACGTTATTTACTCTTTTTGCAGTATACATTATGCGACCTTTTTTTTTGCGGTATACATTATACGACCTTTACTCTTTTTTGCAGTATACATTATGCGACCATTACCCTTTTTTTGCAATTATACATTACCTTTTTCGTATACGTTATTACCTCTTTTTTTATCGACATTTACCTCTTTTGCAGTATACATTGTCGACCTTTACCCTTTTTTGCAGTATACATTATGCGACCATTACCCTTTTTGCAGTATACATTATGCGACCTTCCTCTTTTTTGCAGTATACATTATCGACCTTCTCTTTTTTGCAGTATGCATTATGGAGCCATTACCTTTTTTTGCAGTATACGTTATGCGACCATTACCCTTTTTGCAGTATACATTATCGACCTACCCTTTTTTTGCGGTATACGTTATACGATACATTTTTTTTTGCAGTATACATTATGCGACCTTTACTCTTTTGTAACCTTACTTTTTTTTCTTTGGACTTTCACTCTTTTTTTTTTCTTCTTTACTCTTTTGCTTCTTCTTCTTTTTCTTGTATAACCTCTTTTTTCATCTACATTCTGTAACCTTTTTGCATACTTTTCTTTTTTTGCATTTCTTCTTCTTCTTCTTCTTTATAACCTCTTTTTTCAGTCTTGTTCTGTAACCTTACTTTTTTTCTTTTTTTTATTTCTTCTTCTTTCTTCTTCTTCTTCTTTGTATAACCTCTTTTGTTTCCATCTTGTTCTGTAACCTTACTTTTCTTTTTCATTTCTTCTTCTTCTTCTTCTTTTCTTGTATAACCTTCTTGTTTCATCTTGTTCTGTAACCTTACTTTTCTTTTTTCATTTCTTCTTCTTTTTTCTTTCTTCTTGTATAATCTTGTTTCATCTTGTTCTGTAACCTTACTTTTTTCTTTTTTCATTTCTTCTTCTTTCTTCTTCTTCTTGTATAACCTCTTTTGTTTCTCTTGTTCTGTAACCTTACTTTTCTTTTTTTTTTTTTCTATTTTCTTTTCTTTCTTCTTTTTCTTGTTTCATCTTGTTCTGTAAAAACTTCTTCTTCTTGTATAACTCTTGTTTCCATCTTGTTCTGTAACCTTACTTTTTCTTTTTTTCATTTCTTTTCTTTCTTCTTTCTTTCTTTTCTTCTTGTTTCTTATCTTTGTTCTGTAACCTTACTTTTTTCTTTTTTCATTTCCTTCTTTCTTCTTGTTTCATCTTTTGCTCTTGTAACCTCTTGTTTCCATCTTTTGTTTTTACTTTTTCTTTTCTTCTTCTTCTTTCTTCTTCTTCTTGTATAACCTCTTGTTTCCTGACTTTTGTTTCTAGAAACTCATTTTTTTTTTCATTTCTTCTTCTTTCTTCTTCTTGTATAACCTCTTGTTTCATCTTGTTCTGTAACTCACTTTTCTTTTTTTTCATTTTTTCTTCTTCTTTCTTTTCTTGTATAACCTCTTGTTTCATCTTTTGTTCTGTAACTTCTTTCTTTTTCATTTTTTTCATTTCTTCTTGTATTTCTTGTTTCATCTTTGTTATAACCTTTACTTTTCTTTTTTCTATCTTTTGTTCTTGTATAACCTCTTGTTTCATCTTGTTCTGTGTTTTTTTCTTTTTTTCTATTTCTTTCTTTCTTTTTTCTTCTTGTATAACCTCTTGTTTCATCTTGTTCTGTAACTCCATTTTTTCTTTTTCATTTTTCTTTCTTCTTTTCTTCTTCTTGTATAACCTCTTGTTTCATCTTAACTTGTAACCTTATTTTCTTTTTTCATTTATTTTCTTCTTTTCTTCTTTGTATTCTTGTTTTCTTTGTTCTAACCCTCTTGTTTCATCTTACTTGTATAAACTCTTCTTTATCTTTTTTCATTTCTTTTCTTCTTCTTCTTCTTCTTGTATAACCTCTTGTTTCATCTTGTTCTGTAAACCTTTCTTTTCATTTTTCTTTTTTTTCTATTTCTTGTTCTGTAACCCATTTTTCTTTTTCTTCTTCTTTTTCTTCTTTCTTCTTGTATAACCTCTTGTTTCATCTTGTTCTAACCCTTTTCTTTTTTTCATTTCTTCTTTCTTCTTCTTGTTCTTGTATAACCTCTGTTTCATTTTCTTTTTCTTTTTCATTTTTTCTTCTTCTTCTTCTTGTATAACCTCTTGTTTCATCTTTGTTCTGTAACTCATTTTTTTTTTCATTTCTTTCTTCTTCTTTTCTTTCTTTTGTTTTATCTTGTTCTGTAACCCTCTTTTCTTTTTCATTTCCCATCTTGTTCTTGTATAACTTGTTTCATATCTTGTTCTAACCTTTTTTCTTTTTCATTTCTTCTTTCTTCTTCTTGTATAACCTCTGTTTCATCTTTGTTCTGTAATCCTCATTTTTTTTTTTTTTCATTTCTTTTCTTCTTTTTCTTCTTTGTTTCTTCTTTAATTTGTATTTTTTCTTTTTTATTTTCTTCTTCTTTGTTTCATCTTTGTTCTGTAACCTTTTTTTTTTTTTTTCATTTCTTCTTCTTCTTCTTCTTCTTCTTGTATAACCTCGTTTCATCTTTGTTCTGTAACCTTTATTTTCTTTGTTCATTTGTAACTTTCTTTTTTTTCTTTTTGTATAACTCTTGTTTCATCTTGTTCTTCTTCTTTCTTTTCTTTTTCATTTCTTCTTCTTCTTCTTTCTTAATAACTTTGTTTATCTTGTTCTTAAATCTTACTTTTCTTTTTTCATTTCTTCTTCTTCTTCTTCTTCTTCTTGTATAACCTCTGTTTCATCTTGTTCTGTAACTTACTTTCTTTTTTTTTCATTTCTTCTTTCTTCTTTCTTCTTCTTGTATAACCTCTTGTTTCATCTTTTGTTCTGTAACCTTACTTTTCTTTTCATTTCTTCTTCTTCTTCTTCTTCTTCTTGTATAACCCCTTGTTTCATCTTGTTCTGTAACTTTACTTTTTCTTTTTTTTTTCTTTTTTTCTCTCTTGTTCTTTCTTCTTCTTGTTCTGTATAACTTTTTTTGTTTCATCTTGTTCTGTAACCTTGTTTCATCTTTTTCTTTTTTTCATTTCTTTTTTCTTCTTCTTCTTCTTCTTCTTGTATAACCTCTTGTTTCATCTCTTGTTCTGTAACTTTTTCTTTTTTTTTCTTCTTCTTCTTCTTCTTCTTGTATAACCTCTTGTTTCATCTTGTTCTGTAACCTTTTTTCTTTTTTATTTCTTTCTTCTTCTTCTTCTTCTTTGTATAACTTCTTGTTTCATCTTGTTCTTTGTAACCTTACTTTTTTTTTTTTTTCTTCATTTCTTTTCTTCTTCTTCTTTTCTTGTATAACCTCTTGTTTCATCTTGTTCTGTAACCTTACTTTTTTCTTTTTTTTCTTCTTCTTCTTCTTTCTTCTTCTTGTATAACTGTTTCATCTTGTTTCATCTTGTTCTTGTAACCTTACTTTTCTTTTTTCATTTCTTCTTCTTTTCTTCTTCTTCTTGTATAACCTCTTGTTTCATCTTTGTTCTGTAACCTTACTTTTCTTTTTTCATTTCTCTTTCTTCTTCTTCACTTCTTCTTGTATAAAACCTCTTGTTTCATCTTGTTCTGTAACCTTACTTCTTTTTCATTTCTTTCTTCTTCTTCTTCTTCTTGTATAACCTCTTGTTTCATCTTTGTTCTGTAAACTTTTCTTTTTTCTTTTTTTCATTTCTTCTTCTTCTTCTTGTTTTCTTGTATAACCTTCTTTCAGCCTTGTTTTAACCTTTTACTTTTTCTTCTTTTTCATCTTTGTTCTTGTATAACCTCTGTTTCATCTTTTGTTTTAACCTTACTTTTTTTTTTCATTTCTTCTTCTTCTTCTTCTTCTTCTTGTATAACCTCTTGTTTCATCTTGTTCTGTAACCTTACTTTTCTTTTTCATTTTCTTCTTTCTTCTTCTTTCTTCTTGTTAACCTCTTGTTTCATCTTGTTCTGTAACCTTTTTTCTTTTTTTTTCTTCTTCTTCTTCTCTTCTTTTCTTCTTGTATAACCTCTTGTTTCATCTTGTTCTGTAACCTTGCCTTTTTTTTTCATTTCTTCTTCTTCTTCTTCTTCTTCTTGTATAACCTCTTGTTTCATCTTTTGTTCTGTAACCTTACTTTTCTTTTTTTCTTCTTTTCTTCTTCTTCTTCTTCTTCTTGTATAACCTCTTGTTTCATCTTGTTCTGTAACCTTACTTTTTTTTTTCTTTTCTTCTACTTCTTCTTCTTGTATAACCTCTTGTTTCATCTTGTTCTGTAACCTTACTTTTTCTTTTTCTTCTTCTTCTTCTTCTTCTTCTTGTTAACTTCTTGTTTCATTGTTCTGTAACCTAACCTCTTTTTTCATCTTGTTCTTCTTCTTCTTCTTTTTCTTTTCATTTTCTTCTTCTTCTTCTTCTCTTGTTCTTTAACCTCTTCATCTTTTCTTTCTTTTCTTTTCTTCTTTCTTCTTCTTGTATAACCTCTTCTTGTTTCATCTTGTTCTGTAACCTTACTTTTTCTTTTTTTCATTTCTTCTTCTTCTTCTTCTTGTATAACCTCTTGTTTCATCTTGTTCTGTAACCTTACTTTTTTTTTTTTTTCATTTCTTCTTCTTTTCTTCTTCTTCTTCTTCTTGTATAACCTCTTGTTTCATCTTGTTCTGTAACCTTTCTTTTTTTTTCATTTCTTCTTCTTCTTCTTCTTGTATAACCTCTTGTTTCATCTTGTTCTGTAACCTTACTTTTCTTTTCATTTCTTTTCTTCTTCTTTCTTCTCTTTCTTCTTGTATAACCCTCTTGTTTCATCTTGTTCTGTAACCTCATTTTTCATTTCTTCTTTTTCTTCTTCTTGTATAACCTTCTGTTTTCTTGTTCTTGTAACCTAACTTCTTCTTTCTTCTTTTCTTGTATAACCTCTTGTTTCATCTTGTTCTGTAACCTTTTCTTTTTTTTTTTTTCTTCTTCTTCTTCTTCTTCTTTCTTCTTGTATAACCTCTTGTTTCATCTTGTTCTGTAACCATCTTTTCTTTTTCTTTTCATTTCTTCTTTTCTTCTTCTTCTTGTATAACCTCTTGTTTCATCTTGTTCTGTAACTCATTTACTTTTTTCTTTTTCATTTCTTCTTCTTCTTCTTCTTCTTGTATAACCTCTTGTTTCATCTTGTTCTGTAACCTTACTTTTCTTTTTTCATTTCTTTTTCATTTCTTCTTGTTCTCTTGTTTCATCTTGTATAACCTTTTCTTTTTTCATCTCTTTGTTCTTGTATAACCTCCTCTTGTTTCATCTTGTTTTAACCTTACTTTTCTTTTTTCTTCTTTCTTCTTCTTCTTGTATAACCTCTTGTTTCATCTTGTTCTGTAACCTTACTTTTCTTTTTTTTCTTTTCTTCTTCTTCTTCTTCTTCTTCTTGTATAACCTCTTGTTTCATCTTGTTCTGTAACCTTACTTTTTTTTTTCATTTCTTCTTCTTCTTTTCTTCTTGTATTCTTGTTTCTAACTTTACTTTTCTTTTTTTCTTCTTCTTCTTGTATAACCTCTTGTTTCATCTTGTTCTGTAACCTTTTTTTTTTTTTCATTTTCTTCTTCTTCTTCTTCTTCTTCTTGTATAACCTCTTGTTTCATCTTGTTCTGTAACCTTACTTTTTTTCTTTTTCATTTTTCTTCTTCTTTCTTTCTTCTTCTTCTTGTATAACCTCTTTGTTTCATCTTGTTCTGTAACCTTACTTTTCTTTTTTCATTTCTTCTTCTTCTTCTTCTTCTTCTTCTTCTTGT